ATGGAAAGGGGGGAAGGGGAAGCTTCTGGCAGGTGGAGGGCTGGATCCGGACACCCCTCCTCTTCTTCTTCTTCCTCCTCCTCCGCGCCTGGCTTTCAGACCGGAATGCGGTAAACTGGTTGGCCGGGCGAGGAAGGAGGCTGGAGCCCTCCAGCCAGCCAGCCTGCCTGCCTTCGGTGGGTGTATTAAATATTATGAGCTAGCCATCCGCCCAGACGTCACAGTCAAGAGATTGGCTAAATAAAGGCTACAGTGATAGTAACAGGAAAACCTCGCCGCCCCCACCCTCCCCTTCCCTTCCCTGGGCTCCCTGCTTTCGTTCCCCTGCAGATCCAGCTGGAGCGCACAGAGGGCGCCTCGCTTCGGGAGAGGGTCGGGGAGGGAGGAGGGAGAGCCAGAAAATCTGTCCTAATAACATCGGGAAGAATTAGACTGGCGGATGCTGGCGCCCCTGATGGAGTTGAGGCTGCAGAATTCTGCTCTGTCATTGCCTGGATTACACACACACACACACAGAGAAGGCAGGTCTATCTCTCTGCCCATCTCTCCATCCTTGTAACAAAATCAAACCAGAGCAGAAAACCTACCTGACCATCTTTTGAAGAAAAGAGGTCGTGGTCGGTTTGATGCTCTCCTTGTCTTGTCTGGTTCTGCCACGTTCTCCTTCTCTCTTTCTCTCTCTGTCTCTCAGAAGTTTAGCTAGGGTGATTTTAAAAATAACTTGCTGTGCAGTTGGAACAGCTGAGCAGAGAACCACAGATTCTAAAGCTGGCTGATAGCTGGGTGAGTTAGGGTCTCCGGCTGTCGAGTTAGAAGGTTGGGAGTTTGATTACACACACACACACACACACACACACACACAGAGAGAGAGAGAGGCATGTGGGGTTGTGTAGTAGTACAATGGGCTAAACTGGCCCCTATTCAAAAGTGACTGGTTTTAGAATCAGTCAAAACATACTCATCCAGCAACAGTCCAGAGTGTGTCCAGCTGTTGAGGATGATGTCCTGTTCCTTCCCATGGAATAATATTCAAGGATGCCACTCCAGAATCTAAGTACATCTAGTAAGCCTTCTCCCTGCTGGTTGAGAGGGAGGTTGAATGCGAGTTGTGCAGTGCCCCAGGAGACCATATCGCAACATTGCTCCAGTCTCTGTCCCATTTCTCTGTGTGTTTTTAAAATTTCCCAATGATGTCACCAATTTTAAGGTGATTCAGTCCAGAGAGGTTGCCAGGTATCTTTTCCAATGAGGAAAGGAAGAATAAAGAGACGCCAGAAACGTGAGGGCACGATTCTCTCCAAGATTCAAAGATATATTGGGTTTTATTTGAAAGACATGTTTTAAAAGTATTTTGTACCATTTCTTTACTTTTTCGTACTAACTGTGGTTTTGCTTCAGCACACATTTTCCCATGTTTCTCCCCAGTATTGCACCCAGTTACTACCAGTGGAAACTGCCAAAAATGCTTGTAGTGAATGAAGTGTTTTGGGAAACACCTTTGAGCATGCATAGAATGTTTTTAATTCCATGTCTTTTGTAGCCACCAGCTTGTTTCCAGACCTTTGGGTTTAAGACGGACAGTGCCTGATGGGGCGAAAGTGTCTAAAGTTAAGATTGTACCTGTAATAATAATGCTAATCTTAGATCTGCAGAACTGGAAGGAATCATTGGGTCCCGCCCCTGTCAGGAGGCAAAATGTCTATTCAAGAGACCTTACCATCTCAAAGAGAGAGAGAAATAATCAAATCAAATACGTCCGAACAGTAAGTGTGCAGGAATACTGCAGAAGCCTGCAGAAAATTTGGCTAAGAAAAACTTGCATCATTCTTAGTCCCTACTTTAAGAAAATGGCAATAAGATAGACAAGCAAATTTTTCTGGGGATAGTGCTCTGGACGGTGGTGCATGTGAAAACGGCTCTTTTTCTCCTTTGGGAATAAATGCAGGTCACCAGCTACAAAAGAGTTAACAATAGTTTGGTACGGTGGATCACCTTGATGGACTGTAAACATTGCCTTGTGGTGACATTTCCCTCCTAAACCAACAAGCACAATAATTTGTGCTTTGTACAATTCAGAATGTCAAGGGATTACTTTGAAAGCCCTAATGGCTCAAATCCAAGGTAACTCTACCTGTACCACCCACCCTACTCTCAAAGATCAACAACGAGCTTTTGTGTGCCCCATCCAGTGAGTTCAACAGGATTTATTTCCAAAGGAAGTTTAGGCTAAATCTGATGCTAGTCCTATTCAGAGCTTGGAAACATGGTTTGGAAGCCCCCAAATCTCCCTCCGTCCCAGCCCTAGTGGTTCCAAGTTCTGGATGCAGCCAGATGAGGCTCATTGAACAAAATAGGCCATGTTAATCACAAAAAATGTACGTTCCATTGACTTCAATGGCTCTTCTCTATTTAGAGCTTGGATGAACTGCTAGATAGCTCTGTGAATTAGGTATCTGGGTTGGGAATTTGATTCCCCACTGTATCTTGAAAGGAGTCCAGGAAAGGTCCCTTCCAACTCAGTTCTGTGATGATGATGATGAGATCCATAGCCCACCTGCTCACTCTGCCTGCAACTGTGGAAAGACTAAATGGGGGATAGTGCAAAGAACTACGTAAGCATGTTCATCCTTGATCCATAAAGCCCTTTATGGCTTTGGCCCAGTCTTTCTGAAGGAGCAATTTTTCCAGTTGTAGGTATTCATCTCCCTTTGCAGAAAAGAGACAGACTCTGTGAGTTCAGAAATTAAAGTTACCGTCCAAATAATGACTGCCATGGAAATGGACTCAGTGGAACTTGACCAAATCATAGGAACCACGTCTCTAAACCATAATCAGGGAACTTCTGTTGAGCCCATTCTCATCTAAGGAGGTATTTGGAGTTCAACCGTAGCTCTGAATTCAGTGGGTCCCCCGCTGTCTGTGTCACGTTCCCGGGGGTTACAATAGCCGAAGTCTGATAAACCAGTCCAGGGTCAGAGATATCAAGAATGCAAAGCCAAAGTCCAGAAACCAACTTACAGAATGAAGTCCAGTGTCAAAGTCCAGGGTCCGATACACAGTGTAGTTCAGGGTCAGAGTCCAGAGTTCAATACTAGCGTAGTCCAGGGCCAAAGTCCAGAGTCCAATACCAGCACAGTCCAGGGTCAGAATCCGGGGTTCAGAGACAGGAACACGATGCAAGAAACATGGATGCAAGCCAAGGTTTTGACTCCTTGCTTCCACAAAGTTTCTGGCTTCACTGGGAGCTGTTTTATAATGAAACAGCTCCTTGAGCTGCTGGAAAGCTTTCTATTCTGCTAATACTCAAGACTAGATGAATGTAGGTCTCTGTCCTAAGTCTTTCCCAAAGCCTGCCCCGAAGCCTGTCTGCTGTGGAGGGAGAATCTGGAGGCAGTTCAGGTGTTTCTGATCTCTCCACATCCTCTTCAGCCACAGTTAACCCTTCTGGGTCCAGGTCTTCGGGAACACTCATGACAGTCTGCAATGGAAGGTTAATAACAGAAATTGGGAAAGTTGCTTGTTTGGACCCAAACAAGTATCTGGGGAGGGTGGTGGTGTGTGGACAGAGTTTGGGAAGTTATAGTCAACACCAGAACTTTTCCAAAATCTGGTATGTGTAAGGCCTACTTTGACCCTTTACGGAGGTTGATTAGATTATACCGTTTTTTCCCCCTCCGATAACAATTTATTTATTTTGAGGAGCTGCGCTCTGTATGGGTGGGGGGGGGAAACTGTGCATATTTCTTGCCTGGGGCCTAAGTTTAAAAATCCCCTGTGGTAACTTGTTCCAAATGGCTTCATGCTCTCTTTTTCTGCCACGTTAGATGAATATTAGGCTTGATAATGCTTCCCCATTATAAACACAAGGCAATAATGAGCTCTTAATGGAACATTAATTAATATGTTTGCCTTTTTGCAAGCTGAGGGGGTTTAATAAAATGAACCCTTTCCTATATTATGGCACCCCTTTTCGATTTATTCTTTTCCTCCACTTGATTGATTTTCTCCCCTCTCTCTCTCTCTGCACCATCACTGATGTTATTAGAGTTGAATATCTGTGGTCTGTACGTTTTGGCTCGGCCTGGCTTTGTAACATGGATATAGTGGTCTAAGTGAACGGGGATGATTCACCAGCAGTCCTCTTTTCGAGAGAGGTGCTAAGCATCCTAAGCTGAGTATTCTTTTCCTCCACTTGATTGATTTTCTCCCCTCTCTCTCTCTCTGCACCATCACTGATGTTATTAGAGTTGAATATCTGTGGTCTGTACGTTTTGGCTCGGCCTGGCTTTGTAACATGGATATAGTGGTCTAAGTGAACGGGGATGATTCACCAGCAGTCCTCTTTTCGAGAGAGGTGCTAAGCATCCTAAGCTGAGATGCATCGTGACGGCATTGATTTTCTCTCTCTCTGCACCATCATTGATGTTATTAGAGTTGAATATCTGTGATCTGTACATTTTGGCTTGGCCTGGCTTTGTAACCTAACACAGATATAGTGGTGTAAGTGGAACGCGGATGATTCACTAGCAGTCCTCTTTTTGAGAGAGGTGCTAAGCATCCTAAGCTGAGATGCATCGTGGTGACGGAAAAACAAAATATTAGTTTGAGGCAGGGCAATGGTAGGCACAGCCAGGAGCAAGAGAACGCAGCGTCAGGCCAAAATAATTCTGACCTGTGCCCCTCTAGCTGTAGTAACAACACTTAAGCAGAGAAGGAGGGGCAGAGAAGTAATGTAGGTGCATGGATCTATTCCTTCACCTCCGACATGGTACTGGAAATTGTAGCGAAGATCAGG